TTTTCCCTCAAAATGAACCAATACCCCTAAAGAAAAAAAAAAAAAAAAAAAACTCAAAAAAAAAAAAAGTATTTTGAAATGTGAAAGAGCAGGAACTGGAAAGATGTTACTGTTCTTACAAGCCAAATATGGTTGTATTTTATTCATATTTTTAATATTTTCTCTTAGCAGAAACTATTCATTGTAGAACATTTTTTATTCCTTCATTTTTTCCTCTTCTATTTATAAATAACATTTGTCCTCCATTCTTAACTAATTTTAAAATTATTGATATGCACATAAATGTTATGAAAGAACTTAAACAGCACAGGAATATATAGAGGAAAAGGTGAAATTACACTTAACCACTGTTAAAAATCAGTTTTTTCAGGGGACAGTAGATGGTGTGGTGGTTAGGGTGCTAGACTCCCACATGGCCGACCATGGTTCAAATTTCAGACCTGGTGACTTGCTTTTCTCATTCTTTTTCTTTCTCTCTGTCTCGGGTGAGCATGTATGCCCTATAGCAAATTCAAAATAATAATAATAATAAATAAGTAAATCTTTTTAAAAATCAGATCTTTAGTCTTTCACATCTTTGCAGTATATTTATATGTGTACACTTGTGTGTCCGTACGCATATATTTGCACTGTGTACACCACCTCTCAAAAAAATTAGATCTTGGGAACCAGCAGTTAGCGTAATGGCTATGTCGCTGGACTCCCACGTAGTCGACCGCGGTTCGCGTCCCGGACCCGGTGGCTTAAGACTCACGCCGGGCGCGTGTGCGTGCGTGCCCAGGATCCCGAGAGGAGAATGGAGGAGAAGGGATTGCGGCGTGACCATCCCCCCTGGGGGGTGATTTCTCGCTTTCTGTCTCTCTCTCTCTGTCTGTCTGGCGAGCGCACGCGCCCTATAGCGAAAATCTCTCCAAAAAAAAAAAAATGAGATCTTGCTATAAGTATATTTCAGCATCTTTTTTTTTTTTTTTAATCATAGAGAGATTTTTTTCTTCAGGCTGCATGCACTCATCAGAGAGACAATCTTGCTGTAAGTATATTTCAGCATCTTTGTTTTTTTTTAATCATAGAGAGATTTTTCTCTTCAGGCTGCATGCACTCATCAGAGAGACAGAAAGTGAGAAATCATTCCCTAGGGGAGATAGCCACGTAACAGTCCCTTCTCCTCCATTCTACTCTCAGAATTTTGGGCATTCACACACATGTGCCCAGCATATGTTTCAAGCTGCCAAGTCTAACAGTTGATTCTGTGGGAGTCCAGTGACATAACTATTAGTTACTCCATATGCTGGTCCCTCCGTCATTCTTTTTAATGTCTACATAGGATTCTGTGTATGAAACTTGTGAGACTTAGAATGTTTTCTGTTTCTCAGTAGTATAAATAATGCTGCAGTAAGCATTTTTAAACATATTCTTGTGTGAATATCTGTAAATATTTCTATAGAATTAGTCCCCTGAAGTGGACTTTTTTTTTTTTTTTTTTTTTTGAGAGGTTTTTGCTAGAGGGCGTGCGTGCTTGCCAGAAAGGCAGAGAAAAACAGAGAGATAGAAAGTGAGAAATCACCCCCCAAGGGGGGATGGCCAGGCTGAAATCCCTTCTCCTCCATTCTTCTCTCAGGATCTTGGGCACGCACGCACATGTGCCTGGCGTGAGTTTAAGCCACCAGGTCCAGGACTCGAACCGTGGTCAACTATGTGGGAGTCCAGCAACATAGCCATTACGCCAACTGCTGGTCCCAAGTGGACTTATTTTTTATTAAAAAAATATACTGAAGATTTTCCATTTCTTAGATAACTTGTTACTTTTCTAAATGTATTGTTTTTATTACTGTCACTCTATTGAAAAGTGATTAAAAATAGCTAATATCTATTGAACATAAATTATACATCAGGTGTTATTATATTTATATGTGATTTCTTTTTTTTTTTTCTTTTTTTGGAGAGGTTTTTGCTATAGGGTGCATGCCCTCTCCAGACAGAGACAGAGAGACAGAAAGCGAGAAATCACCCCCCAGGAGGGGATGGTCACGCCACAATTCGTTCTCTTCCATTCTCCTCTCAGGATCTTGGGCACGCACACACACGCACCCGGTGTGAGTTTAAGCCACTGGGTCCAGGGCTCGAACTGCAGTCGACTACGTGGGAGTCCAGCGACATAGCCATTATGCTAACTGCTGGTCCCATATATGTGATCTCTTAACAGGAGAACTAGCAAGAGAATTTGCATCGGGATGTCAGCCCCCCTCTGAATATGATGCTTCCCTCTTCCATAAAACCTGAGGATAAAGAACCTCTGTGCTTGGGAGGGAATTGGGGACCTCGGGAGCCAGTAGTCTGTAACTTACCACTAGCCCTAAGGAAAGAGGAACCTCAGGAAACTGGGTAGTAGTGACTTTGGGGAGAAAAATAGACTTGAGTTTAATTACACGGTGATTGTGACATTGGAGAGACACCGCAGAGCAGACATGTCACCCTTACCTCTCCGTCCCCTGTGTCAGCTGAATCACCTCTGTGCCGAGTGGCCTCCGCCTTGCCATTTGGTGCCCCTTAACTATACAGTCTCCTCTTGTTCATGTGCCCTGCCCAGCAGTTCCCCACATGGCTGGGAGGCTACTTAGATTTCGATGAGAGCAGGCGAATCATAAACACTTTCTTAGAAGTAACTATAACAGGGACCAGCAGTTAGGGTAATGGCTATGTCGCTGGACTCCCATGTAGTCAATCGCGGTTCGAGTCCTGGACCTGGCGGCTTAAACTCACACCAGGCGCATGTGCATGCATGACCAAGATCCCGAGAGGAGAAGGGATTGTGGTGTGGCCATCCCCCTTGGGGGGTGATTTCTTGCTTTCTATCTCTCTGTCTCTCTCTGTCTGTCTGGCAAGTGCACATGCCCTATAGCAAAAACCTCTTCAAAAAAAAAAAAAGTATTAATTTTATTTATTCATTCTCTTTTTTTTTTTTTTAATTTGATCAGAGAGAAAGACAGACAGAGGGGAAAGTGAGAAAGCAAGCCACCAGGTCCAGGACTTGAGAACGCTGATCAGCCATGTGGGAGCGTCCAGTGCTTTAACCACCATGACACCTGCTGGCCCCCACTTCTGGTTTCTTATTTTGATTATTAAATTTTTTGATTTCTCATTTCAGGCTTACGATCAGCATTTAAATATGATACTAGGAGACGTGGAAGAAACTGTGACTACCATCGAAATTGATGAAGAAACCTATGAAGAGATCTATAAAGTAAGTCAGGACGATGCAGTCACTGCTTGAAGATGGCAGTTCTCAACACGCAAGAACTTAATGCATAGTTCTGGCACGCCTGTCACATGGTAGAGCACAGCGATGAAGCGCTAGGCTTTGGAGTCAGGGGACCTAGTTCCTGGTCAGGTTACCTTAGGCAAAGGGAATGAACCACTTCCTCCTTGGGCTACCTTGGGCAAAGGGAATTCACTATGCAGGCTTGACTTCCTCGTTGGCAATCGGGAATGTACCACTTACTTAGGGTTGCCGGTTTCAGTGAGATACGACGGTGCAGGGAGTCTGTGTGCTGGTGTAGAACAGGAAAACTGCACAGTATCCTTTCGTTTTCTGTGGATTTGACCTGTCGGTATCGCCTGCCCGTGACTAAGTCTCCTCGTCCGTAAATGAGCTCGTAACAGGCCCCGCTTGCTAGGGCTGTGGAGAACTCACTGAGCAGTGCCATGAACAGCCTTCATCTGAGTGGTGAGCTCTGTGCGCCCCAGTTGTGCAGTGGGCCGAGGGCAGAGTCCGCCTCCTCCCTGCCTGTCTGCCCACAGCAGGTTCCTCCTAGAGCTGTTGCCGGTGCCGTGTGTCTGCACCTGTGCATGTCTTGGGTGCGGTGCCGTGTAGCCTCGGGGCCACTGGCGTCTGTGAGATGCGTAGCTGCCTGTGGGAAGGCTGCTGCCAAGCAGGGCCATGTTACCCCAGTGTGCTGAGTGCCCATGAGTGCTGCTGCAGAACAGTAAGCATGGTTTAGCTGGTGGGTGAGATGTTTCTTATATTGTCATGATTTAGTGGGTAAAGTATTCAAAGTGAAATCTTGGGCCTGGCAGGTGTCATGGTGGTTAAGGGCCCTGGACCCCTACCCTCACCCCCAGAGATAGTCACTGTTCGTAGTGCTCAAGAATCCGCCCCAGTATCTTCATGCACTTACTAATGAGTATTAATTATTCTCCCTCTCCCGTTTCTTTTGTAGTTGTTGTTTGAGAGAGAATTTTTGCTATAGGGCATGTGTGCACACCAGAGAGACAGAAAGCAGGAAATCAGCCCTCAGGGAGGATGGCCATGCTGCAGTCCCTTCTCTTCTAATCTCCTTTTTTGGATTTTGGGCATGCATGCACACACACCTGGTGTGAGTTTTAAGCTGCATTTGAGCCACACTCGACTATGTGGGAATCCAGCAACCTAACCGTTATGCTGTCTGCTGGTCCCATTCCTGGTATTTTTCTTCAACTATTATTTCTTTAGTCTCTACTATAGGGCATATGCACTCACCTGAGTGAGACAGAGACAGGCAGGCAGACAGAGAGAAAGAGAAAGTGAGAAATCACCCCCTTCCCCTGGGGGATAGCTGTGCCACAATCCTTTCTGCTTCGTTCTCCTCTTAGGATTTTAGACATATGTATACGTGCCTGGTGTGATTTTCTTCTTTTCTTTTAAAGAGATTTTTCTTGTTGGGTGTACATACTTACCGGAGAGACAGAAAGCGAGAAATCACCCCCCCCGCCCCACCCCAGGAGGATGGCCACGCTACAATCCATTCTCCTCTCGTGCCCAGTGTGAGTTTCAAGTGGAGTCCAGTGCCTGGACCACTGCGCCACCTGCTGGCCCACCTGTGGTAGGATTTTCAGGCCCTCAGGTCCAGGACTGCTACCACGGAGTCGGTCGTGTGGAATCCAGCACCTTCACTTCCGTGCCGCCTGCTGTTCAGCTGTCTCTTGTCTTCTTAGGAAACAGGAGACAGCATACCCACGTATTGCTGCATGCCTGCTCTTCTAACTTAATGTTTCTCGGAGTTCTTTCTGATATCACACAGTTTCATCATGTTTTTTAGCTTCATGATACTCCCTTATATAAAAGGCCATAAATACTTTAATTATTTTCCTGTTAATGAACAGGTAGCTGTTTCCACTTTTACTAATACAAACTATCCTGCTGTAAATAATTTTATCTTTATATTTTTCTTTCTTATGTTTAAATAATTTTTTTTTGAAGAGGTTTTTTGCTATAAGGCGCGTGCGCTCGCCAGACAGAGAGAGGCAGAGAGACAGAAAGTGAGAAATCACCCCCCAAAGGGGATGGCCATGCCACAATCCCTTCTCCGTTCTCCTCTCGGGATCTTGAGCACGCACGCACACGTATGCAGTGTGAGTTTAAGCCACCGGGTCTGGTACTCGAACCGTGGTCAATTACATGGGAGTCCAGCGACATAGCCATTATGCCAACTGCTGGTCTCTTATTATTACTCCTCAGTTTGACCAGAGAAAGCCACCATGCCCAGGACTCAAACCATGGTTGGCCATGCGGGAGTCCAGCACCTTAACCACCATGCTACTCACCAGCTTCCCTTCCACCCCACTTTTTTAAGAGAGATTTTTGCTATAAGTGCACATGCACTCACCAGAGGGACAGAGACAAAATGTGAGAAATCACCCCCAAGGGGGGAAATGACCACGGCCCTGTCCTTTCTCTTTCATTCTCCTCTTGGGATTTTGGGCATGCACACACACACGCACAACCTCTGGCGTAAGTTTCAAGCCACTGGGTCTGGGACTCGAACCATGGTTGACCACGTGAGAATCCGGCGACATAACCATTATGCCGTCTGCTGGTCCCATCTTTTTTTATTTGTAATTGGTAGAGGGCACATTCACTCACCAAGGGTGGCAGGGAGAAAGTCCCCTCAAATCAGGCTGTGGTCATGTCCAGTCCCACCTCCGTCTCCCCGTCCCATCAGGACTTTGGAGACACACATACGCGCTGGTGTGTCTTTCAGGCTGCTGAGGCTGGGATTCAAACCAGGGTCCACTGTGCAGGATCTGGTTCTCTATGAGCAGGGCTTAACCGCTGCAGCATGGGTCTGGCCCAGTTTTATCTTAAGTTTACTTATGAGCTAATTCATACTTTACTTTATTTTCTCTTCATTTCTAGAGTGGAGATTGTAGGAGGACACTTTTATTTGTCTCTGTCTAATGCCTGTCCTGGTACCTGACACATGCTAGAAACTGGGACGATATCTACATGAGTGGACTCCTGGACTTCAGATTGAATCGTAGGTCGATCAGTTAGTTTCAACAGAGAAAAGTCTCTTGCATTTCCACTGAGTGCACATCTGAGCCTTGTCACTTACTACACACACACACACACATACACACACACACACCCTTTTTTTAAAAAATCTAGGTGACAGGACCAGCAGGTAAGGTGTCGGACACTCCCACATGGCCAACCACGGTTTGAGTCTTGGACTTGGTGGCTTACTTTCTCACTTTCCCTCTCTCTCTTTGTCTCTCTCTGGTCAAATTAAAATGAATGAATAAATTAAAATAAATAAAATAAATCTTTAGGGAAACCAGCAGTTGGCATAATGGCTATGTTGCTGGACTCCCACGTAGTCGACCTCGGTTCGCGTCCCGGGCCCGGTGGCTTAAAACTCACGCCAGGCCCGTGTGCATGCGTGCCCAAGATCCCGAGAGGAGAATGGAGGAGAAGGGATTGCGGCGTGACCATCCCCTCTGGGGGGTGATTTCTCACTTTCTATCTCTCTGTCTCTGTCTGTCTGGCGAGCGCACGCACCCTGTAGCAAAAAAAAAAAAAATCTCTCCAGAAAAAAATAAATAAATCTTTAAAAAAAAATCTGGGTGAGGGACCAGCAGTTGGCATAATGGCTATGTCTCTGGACTCCCACGTAGACGACTATGGTTCTAGTCCCAGACCCTCTGACTTACACTCACGCCAGGCGCATGTGCATATGCGCCCAGGATCCCAAGAAGAGAATGGAGGAGAAAGGATTGCCGCATGGCCATCCCCCGGGGGTAATTTTTCACTTTCTGTCTGTCTGTTTCTCTGGCGAACTCACATGCCCTATAGCAAAAACCCCTCCAGAAGAAAAAAAAAAAAAAAAAACCTGGGTGAAATTTACTGCCAGTACTAGAAAAATCAGTACATTTTTCTGATACCCAGTTTGTAGTGTCCTTTTCTTACCTAGAAGACTTAGGTTGTGCCTCAACCCCTTCTTACCGGTCCACGTCCGTCCTTTCTCAGTAAGTATATGTCTGTGGCCTGGTCTCCTGGCCGAATGATGAGAGCAGATCGCCCGGGAGATTACTTATCACGAGTAGTCACTCTTAGGTGGGCCTTGTAGTTTAGTGTATGAGGGAGCTGGATCCCACGTGGCTAACTGAGGTTCGAATCTCTACTCCTTTGGGTTGAAAAGCATGCTGGGCATGTGTGTGTGTATGTGTGCACGCACCTAAAATCCTGACAGACTGGAGAAATACACGAGGATGGATTGCCATGTGGCCACGCGCTCCAGCAATAAAAAATAAAGTTAGCGTCCTCCTGTGGGCATTCCAGTTCATGTTGGAAGACTGGTAGCAGATAGCCCCGAAGATGTAGCAGCTCAGCACAGTTTGTCTCTCGATCACCTGCGTGTTCTAGGTGGGTTATTCACACAGTCACTCAGGCTCCCAGGCTCCTCCTGTATCGCAGCTCCAACTCCGAGTCTGCTGTCCTTCACATCCAGCCTGCGGTAGCAGGAGGAGACGGAGGCGTGCTCAAGGGGGCAAGGGATGTTTTTTGAAGCAGGCCCGGATGTGCCAGATGCTTCTTGACACATTTTTTTAGGCCAGAACTCAGTAATAGGGCCTGTTCTACGGCAGGGACTCCTCCAGGAGGAAAGAGTTCTCATGAGCAGCCAGCAGTTTCTGCCACCGTCTGCTGCTCTGGTGGTGAGGTATCTATTCCTATGAACAAAGGGAAAACCCCTCTTCATGGGAAAATAACTGGGCTAACTTAGCCACTCAGTGGGGTACTGGGCTTCCCTTCTGCGGAACCATGTGCACTTAGTCAGCGGGGTACTGGGCTCCCCTTCTGCGGGGCCGTGTGCACTTAGTCACCGGGGTACTGGGCTCCCCTTCTGCGGAGCTGTGTGCACTTAGTCAGCGGTCTGTCTTGGGTTCTGGGAGTTTGACGGTCAGGTCGCTGTAATGACCCATGATCAGAACTTGCTCAGCTACTCCTCAGAGAGCAGGCAGGACACTGAGCTCAGGGCTCCACATCTCCCCTGATTTGCGGTTCTGTCAGATCCACATGCTCTCACGTAGAGGACGGAAACCTCTCATCTGAAAAAGAGGACTTACGTGTGCCTGCTCTGTCCATAGTACCAGCAGGGCCGGATGGCCACCTCGATCCCTCCCTGTCGGAGGAGGGGAGAATGGAGTGTGTGAGGCAGCCCCTGGTCCCTAATCATGATGGATCCCCCTGGCGGGGTATGCACGCTCCCCATCCTGGTAGGGACGG